CCATCAACACAAGTTCAAAAAAGAACACAGCATCCTACTATTACATCAAAACTGAAATAACAAAAATGCAAAGTTAGGATAAAGTGCTACCTAATATCTCTCTTGCCAAGTTAAAAAAAAGCACAAGCAATTGAAAAGAAAGACAAAAGAGCAGGAAGTACTTACCATTTTGTTCAATAGTGGTGTCAGTCTTACTTCTTCATCCCTGAATAACCTGAGCTATAAATAGGGAGTTTAGGAACCAGTGTAACAATTCATGGAACTAATAGAGTTTCTCCAAGAATGTTAACAAAGAATAGGGTGGTAGTATAATGTCCTTCCCAGAACTGCAGCAGTAACAAAAGTGTTTCTCCATCAGAAAGTCAATGTAGTTCAGATGGAATACAAACAGCAGGAGGGAAAGAGGAGTGGTGGGGAACAGCTGAAATTTCAAAAGCTGGCTGACCAGGTCTAGCGAAGTGGCTGAGATGATACCCCTAAAAGACCAGCCCTCCCCAAACCAGTTCCCTCCAGATGTGTAGGACTATAAATCCCTTCAATGGTTACAGTGCCTGGGGATGATAGGAGTTATAATCCAGCACTTCTAGAGGACAGTGAGTTGGGGGACTCTGAATGAGACATTGAAAAAGCCTTTATTACCTGCTGTGCGTTACACTATTTCTGCATCTCTGACAATAGCACAATTATCCATCCCTGCATAATTCAGGGATGATAGTTTGCTAAAGGGCAATAGCTGTACTGATGTTAACTGCTTCCAGATGGAAGCCTTCCAACCACCATTCTAAACTCATTGGCAGCTTAGATCTAGTTATTTTAACATTCTTCTGTCCCTTAAAGAAGTCTTTAGTATTAATGTGCATTTCCATACTGCATTTATTCACTGTAATCAACTTTCTGCCACCCTCTTGTTAGTAAAGTCAAACAATGTGGGTGGACTCTATGTATCCCTTTGACTGATTTAGTATAAATTTGCTGCCATCGAGATGGCATGCCTCATGCAGCAGGGTTAATCTGACCTTTACTTTGCACTCTACCCTATTACCTTCATGCACACTGCTGCTCAATTCAGAGCAAACACAGAGATTTGATGTATGTAAAGAAGACAGTGGGAAGCAACTCTCCTCTTGAACTTTCCCACCCAGTGTGAAGTTTGCAAAAGGGGTGGGGGTGGGGAGTAAGGGAATCTTTCCTGTATTTCCTTGTGGCTGCCATTTTCACATTAGTGACACCTGCATTGTAAACATGATGGCCTGTGTTCAGTTGTTAGCGGTATAATTTATATCTCCCTGAGTGATGCTACATATGGAGTGGAATAAAATCACTGTTTGATTATAACCTGGGTAGGAGTACATGCCCATGAACTCTGTAGGACCAAACTCTGCTTCAGCCATTCCTCTCATATATTGGAGCTATTCTTTTGTGCCTAAAATTGACCGATATATGAATTATCTAAAAATCTGAAAGGATGTTGGTTTAAAAAAATACACATACAATTGGTTTTTCCCCCTTGTAATTCAGAGAAGCTTAAAAGGTAATCAATTTGGAAAGCTAAGTGTCTGCCCTCTGGTGGCACTGAAAATATTTGCATCTGTCTGCACAACCTGAGACTGTGATAACTGAAAGAGTGCCTTCTCCTTTACCAACCTGACAGGTTATCAGAGGCCATCCTCCTGTTGGTTCTACAAAAACACATGACCTTACAGGAATGCACGAGCAGAAGAGCCTTCAGTGTGGTGGCCCCATTTCTATGGAACTCCCTGCCTCGGGAGTTCAAACAGACTCCAAGACTGTGCTGTTTTCGGCACTTGCTGAAGACATCCTTGTTCTGGGAAGACTTTCTTGCTGACTAGCCATGCTTTTGGTGTTATTGTGTTTTAAATGCTTTAAAGTAATGTTTTTATTCTTTTATTTCCATACTTCTCCACATCCAAGATAAAAATGTTTCCCAAATGGCATGTCCCAGAACCCTGATATTTCGTACATGAATTGGGGCTCCAGAAAATTTTGATGCTGGCAGTATTTCCTCCTCTAAAATACTAGTTATAATGTTGGCCATCACATTTCTCATTGGCTTCTGCAGGCTGGAACCAATTAAGAAAGCAGAGCAATCCCCACCCACTCCTCAAGGCATTATGGACAACCCTGAGAATGCACAGGGCTGTAAGAGCACAGCGTTTGCATCACATGGCTGGTGTATCGTACCACAGTCAGGTCATATGATATAGATTCACAAAGAGCAGGGGCTGATGCCAAGTCTCAGTCTCTTCTATAGGTCGCAGCAGGAGGTGGCTGAGCAGACTATTTGTGTGCCTGTTTCTGATGGGGGGGGGGGGTGCTGCAAGCCTGGCAGCCAACTTGAATTAATCCAGACCCTGAGCGGAAAACCAGAGAGTACTAAGGTTTTGTATTTGTTTATTTATTTACAACATAGGTACAGCTCTAAGCTCTACAAATTGACTCTACGGATCTATTCTCTACTAATTTTTAGGACTTTGGAGCAACTCTGAGCTTTGTAAATACATGTTTAATGCTTCAGAGCATTAAATATCAATATAAAATGCTCTCTAAACAAAATTTTGACTTCTGGCTCTGTAAATTAATACTTCTGTATAAAACACCCCTCCCCCCCAAAAAAAATTAAAAACTCAAGCAAAAAACCAAATGCACTTTTGAGTCATGCATGTGACTATTTTTCAGTATGGAAATAAGCTTAATTTCTTTTACTTGATCCAAAATTTATCTGACACACTTTGTCCTTATCCAAGAGTTCTCTTTCAGCAATGTTCATGGCTTTCATTAATATGTTTCGTGCCTAAAAGTGTTCCATGGTCAAATTTGTTTGGGAAATGCTAAAGTTTTCTGAAATAATTCTAATTTCAGCTTCCTAAGTAGACTGGTATCAAAAGAACATTTTTTAATTATGGGCTAGGTGGGGGGAGAGAATATAGCAGACAAGGGCTTTATTAAATTGTACTCCTCCCCTAAATTACAGTAGAAAGAAGTAATTCATGGGAAATAAATCTGCCAATGATTACTCTCCACTATGATGGCTAAAAATGGAATGGCTTTGGGCTCCATGCAGACCAAAGCTAACCCTGATGTATTACTCTTGGCAGTATCATCTAACATGTTCCTACTCTGTGATGCACTGGTATTCACAAGACACTGTTACTTCCACTACTGAAAAGTAATCATTAAGAGCGCCCTTATACATCCCCAGGGAAGGCACTGATTTCTATTTAATATCATGCATTACTTCAATATCACATACAAAGTTATTGTATCTGCCAGGCAAAGGCCACAGACACACCATTATTTTTATCTAACCATATACAACTGGAAAGAGTTATAGGAGGGCATATTTTGACAATTCCATGCTGTAAGCTGCTAAATCCTATAACCATAATAGTGAAAATCATTAAAGTGTGATTGCTTCCCCCCACCTCCAAATTGTCTTGGCTTTTGTCCTTCGTTTCTCTCCCAGTTTTCAGTTTTCCTTTGGGTCAAAGTGTTTTTTGTTTTGTTTTTTGGGGGGGTTTTCCAAGCAGAGCGCAAGTGGCAGAGCACCCACTGATGTCTGCAATGGCAGCACAAATCCTTTTCATCATATGCATACACAGTAAAATCATCCATGCAGTTCATATTCAATGGATGTTGTGCACCTGCACACATACACACAGCATATCCTTCCTCTGAAATGAACATGTAAGTCCTAATGAGTTCAGTGCAGAACATTTCCATTAAGCATGATTTGCAGTCCTAACCTTAAGAAAATGTGACCTTAAGAATCAAGTACGAAATATTCAACCATTTGGAAGCTTTATCACTGCGGACTATTACAGTTCCCATTGCTAATGCAGTGCAGTTCAAAAGTCTGCATAAGGCCATAACATACCCACGAATATACCCACTTAAGTTACATTAGTTACCTTCAATCTTTTCAAACCCCAGACCACTGTTTAACTCCAATATGAAACACAACCACCTGGAAATATGAAAGCCTGGAAATATGCAAATACATAATTAACTTATCATGCAGCCAGAACCCCATAAAGTTCCTTGCTCACCAGATTCACAAATTTGTCCCTCCATATTCATGTCCCACCCTTCATGTAAGATACTAGTTCTAACTGTGCAATGTGCATAATTTCACACATTTGGGAAGGAGCTTTAGAAAAAAACAGAGGCCACACAGTAAATAAAACTGTATATTAAATATGGGTGTGTTTATTGGTTGGCAGCATTTGAATATAACCTGCATGTGTCAAATTAAAGAGTGCTAATAAAAAACCTAGTAACTTCCTTTTAGCTTACATATTTTATATCTAACGGATTTTGAGGAAGAAAGTAACTTGATATAGATTGACAGGGCCCAGCTCCTCAGTTTAAGGAAATGATCACCATCCTGCTCCTGTTCTACAATGATTCACACTGACTGGATAACTGGCCCAACATAGGCAAAGTATTGTTTAAAGGGTTCAATGGAAACACAAACTCATGGCTGAAACTATAGTAAAAGGATGCTTTTACACCTAATGAGAAAACTGAAAACCTTGGGTAGTTAGACACACACACACACACACAAGTAAGCCTGTCTGTTCAGTGCACAGAACCAAAATGCAGCATTAAACACACGTTGAGTGTTCAAGATATTTTTAAAACACAGGTTTTAGCTATAAGCTGGCCTTCATAGGTAACATACTTCAAACTTTTTCTTGATAGCCTCACACATAAACGCACAGTATTTTGTACACTAGTCTTCCAGTTCTTTCAATTGTTAAAGATGGATTTCCAGCCACTGAGAAACACATTTTGGTCTTGGTTTCATAAGGAATGATGAACATATTCAATGTTTGTGCTCAAATCAAGTTCACTGAAAGCTTGTATGTGTAGCTTTAAGAGCCTTTTACTATCATTTGGCACTTTAACAGAGATTTCACAAGATCAGAACTCTGGATATTTAGCATCTTGCTGGTATCATTTTTGCATTAAGGCTCAGTTAAAAAAACAGCCTCGGGAAAGTTAGCACATACACCCCACTCATAATGTCTTGGTCTAAATTCAGTAGAAAACTCTCTAATGTTATTCTGACCAGAGTACAAGTTTCAGAGTTGTCTTATCATTAGTGGGGTCTGTCAACTACGGACATAAAGTGAGACTTCTGACACTAGTGGAAAAATATTAACATCCAAAGTAAAGGACTGTCCACTCCAGTTAATAAGAAAAATGTACATCTAATTTAGTATTATATATTCTACACCAGCTTTGATGGATAAAAGTTATTTACAAATGAATTTAGTACCAAAAGCAAGCTCATGAAGTGGGTAGCTTGCATAATGTCAAAGCCACCAGAAATGTAAGCACATACATGTGCTGTCTGAATCGTATTCATTCACATGGGTATCAAATCTTAAATATTTCCAGATCATCACTATTACACTAAAGAGAGGCCCATTGTTGACAAGATTGCTATTTAAAATGGAAACTTTCTCACCTAAAATGTCTTTGTAATGGGATGGGGATGGGATGGGGTAGATTACTACAGTCTTTTTTTAAATAAACAAGTCAATCTAAGGAGGTTTCTTAATTATCTCAAGAGTTTAGTTTCCAGTTCTTGCAAGGGAACTGATTCTAACTCTCACATACCAAAGACTGTAATCCTATATTGCAAGGGTGCCAAGCCTCTTTCAGCTCAAGGGCTGAAAAACATTTCAGAGAAGCTCTGGGTGGGAATCACATTCCAGTGGTAGGCAGGGTTGAAGGCAAAGGTGGGGGAGCACTTCAGTTTAAGATGTGAATGTTTGTTTTTCTCTTGTGTCTGCAAGAGATGGTATCAAAGCATATTCCTTCCAGTATTAAACTAGAACTTTAAAAAGCAAACATCATGTTCATTGTAAGAAAAAAAAAACCAAAATCCATATAGGGTAGTATCTTTACCAGGCCAACTGGAAGACTATCAAAACTATGCAAGCTTACATAATCTTTCAGACATTCTGACTACAACATTCAGTCTCTCCCTTGCCCATTCCCCCAACTCCCCTGGCCAACCTTTTCTTGTATGATCTTGGTTGTTGAAGAAATCTAGAGATCTCAAAAGGATACATATTTTTGTGAACCTTCAGCTGGACTACTGAAGATATTACACTATATGGGTTTTAAAACTAGAAGGTGTTTGTGCTTTTGTATTACAAAATACTCAAAACTATAAAACTACATGCCACAACAACTGACCTGGAAATTTTATATCAGCTGGAACAAACTCTATAGAAGGCTAAGCCGCTAACTGTAGTTTACATGTGGAATTGTGAGTCAAAGCACATATGATGCATCACACAACACAGATGTACATTCGGTACATGTAGCCCAATATTCTCTACTTTGGTGGCAGGTTTCAGGTGAAGGTCTTTCACAGTTGCAGTGCCCAGGTTCCTTTAACTAAGCACGTCTATACTGAAACTGAGAACTTCAGTACACATGTATGCTTTATCACTAAGATACAGGTTTTGCCCATACTTGTGCAACTATATGGCATCACAATAAATGTGGGATTGGAACTCAGTCCCATGAAACCTAGGAGCAGGAAGAAGACTTTAGTGCATCTTAAACTGAGCAGTTTGGCAGCACTGTACATTTGGTGGCATAAAAACATACCAGAATTGCTTACTTTATCTCCAGCAATGTTTAGGGGCTTTACTTTTAAACAAACTATTCCAAGAGAAAATCCATTATTAATAGTCATTAGGAAATAATTAATTTCCTTCCTCTTCACTTCTTTTTTTTTTGGTCCCAAGTGGTCACATCTCTTGCCTTTGCCTTGCTGAAGGCAGCAGCATTAAGAAGGGGCAAGAGTTCATCTTCGGGCCAAATCCCATAGTTGCCATTTGACGTATATGTTATTGAACTTCATGTCCCAAAATAGCAACACCCTGCCATTCTCAAGTTAGCTGCCCATTTTCACAGTTTCATTTCTCAGAGGGCACACTAAAATATATTATCTGGACATGAGACAAATGCTTGGAAGAATTCAGCTGTAATCCATAAGAAGAAATCCCTGCTTGTTCAAGTACCACTCTTCTCTATTAAGTATGCATTTAAACCAACACATGAATAGCAAATATCTAAAAAATCCAGAATGCACAAGCTCCATTCCCATTTCTTATACTGTTCTTAATAAAGCTGGAAGTTTTGCAGAGTTGATATAAAAGCTTACTTTTTCCATATGAAATGGCACAGTGGTAACATTTGGGAGAGCGGTCCTTCCATTTATTACATCCTTCATCATAGACAGGAGGCGATGGAGAACAGTAAATAAAAGGTGATATGGAAGGGTTTTAGAATAATCTTTTCTTCATGCAAATTCAGACATTTGAATTATCCTCCTGCTCCTTAACAGGGTCAAACAAAAGTGAGTAGTTACCATAGCTGATTAGTAATGTGGCACATCAAATTAATAAGCTTTAAAGCCAAAATGGTAGCTTCTCTTGCAGAATTATAACATAAAGAAATTGCTTTAATGGTAATATTTAAGAGTTGGCTTTTTAATAAAAGGTAAACCCGAGAAAGCTTGCTTTTAGTAGGAGACTAAATTCACATCAAGTTTGCTGGAACATCTACTTGCATTATTTACCAACCATAAACATGAAATACTAAACACCAGCATTCATGCTGAGAAAACAGTACTTTTGGGGAAATTAACTGCTAATGCTCCTAATAAAATCTGTTGTCATGAAAAGTGGCAAATTGTACTCAAAAGTAGCTTCTTTATTACAGAGATTAAAGTAATACATACATAGCCCTCCAGTATGAAATAGGCCTACAACACTACCATCTCTTGCTCACTCCTCCCGTCCCTCCTGAGTACCACACCCAGTGCCTGGAGACAGCTATATTGACAGATACAAAACCAGGCAAAGGATTAAGAAAAATTCACAATATTTGACTGAAACCATTAGTCCCCTCAAAACAAGTTGCACTTTTAACAAAAGAAAACAGGCAAATTCAAACTGATCAGCACACTTACAGGTAGACATCCTATTTCTCATGCTTATGGGAAGCTCAATTTTAGATTTAGATAATGATCTAGCAATATTTGGAATTAAGTTTACTTTCATTAAAAAATATCACCCACTTGCAAATAGTGCTGAAATTTATACATCCAGGCTCAAAAGTATGAACTTCAAGCTAATACCACCTCAATTAGAAGGTAAATATTATGACTCCCAAATTCTTCCCTGGCTCAAGTTTTAGTCTTAATTTCTCTGGCTCAGATTTTAATCCATATGTTCTTCAGTAATCTACTCACCCCCAAATACCTTCTTTCCTTCAACCCCTTTTACATTAGTACAGCTAAATGTGGGAAGCCATTGGATGATGGAAGCAAGGGAAGTCTTACTTTTCCTTCAGATAACCTTTGAAAAAGCTACATGTTCCAGAACTATTTGGTAGCTATGCAACACAGAAGAAGCTGGGAAGGGGAAGAGCCCCATGCAACCCTGCTGGAACCACCTGAAACAGCAATAAAACAAATGCATTTGAGGGACTGGTATGTGGGAAGAAATGTTGGTATTCATGGAGGAGGGAACAGGTGGACTAAATTCAGGTTGCCCTTGCAATACCTTTGCAGTTTTCTGCAACACAAACTAGGCTTGTTTATTTGCCTCTTTCCCCAAATTCCGAGAAATCACTAACTAGGTCAATATGGCACACCATTATTTTTATTGGCAGATTTTTAAATTAATAAACAAAATGGGCTTTCTTTGGGTGGGAAGGGAAGAGGATGGAGAGAGATGGTTGAAATTATAAGAATATGGTTAACAATGAGTAGGAATACTTTTGGAAAATAAAAACTATGCTGCATCTAAAATCATAAGGTAACTTCAGACTAAATTCCTCATACAAAGCTGATTTCTCCATTCTCAAAAAAGCTATTACAAACTAATTCAGGGTTAAATCCCAGAATGTTAATAGCTACATCAAAATACTCCAGGATATTCTATTTACTGTACATCACACATCTAATCTATGACACTGAAAACATGTATGGGATGCCACGCTTGCCTGTATGGGTGCCACGCTTGCCTGGCACTGGAAAATTATAACTGCAATTTATGCAACAGGATGGCACATAGAACGCAGACAGCTTGAAGTGGTTTTGTCCTCCTAGCAAAGAAAGTAATTTTCTCTCCATTTTGGAAAATCTAGCAGAGGTTGTGCATTCTCACCCACAATGCTACATTTCAGAATCACTAAGATTACCCAGCAGCTGTGTGAAAACTCAATGTCAAAAACAGGTTTAAGCAGCACAATCAACTCTGAATGAAATAGGGCTGATATACTGTACACATGATGTGAGGTTTCATCTAGTCCTTATCTAAATGAAAACACCAAATCTGAACTTGTAACAAATTATTTGTAAATTATATACCAATGAATCTGAAGCACCATTCATTCTGTACCAGAATTTGTTTAAATAAAGAAGTGCACAAGTTCAGTGTTTTTTTTTTCAATGAATCATATATTCATCCTCTTCTCTGCCCTCTCAAGGACCAGAAATATAAAAGTAAAAGCTGGGTTTCCCAAGATCCATAGGATATACAAAAGAGGTGAGCGGGGGGCACATATACAGTTTCCACAATATTGGATGCCCAGCCTTGATATGAATCAGAGAGCATTATCCTATTTCATTCTTTAATGCATGATAGCCCCTGAACATGGAGGCCTATATGCATCCAAGGCAGGGTGTGAGACATGGCAGCAGCACTATCTGTCACCTCACCTCTTGTATTTTATCTAGATGGCTGTTTCAGCAGTCTAGATGAAGCATCATAGAAAAGAGAAGGAGAACAGAGCATCATTTGGTCCTCAGCCTCATCTCTGCTCTCACTCCCCATCATGTTTCTTTAGCCCTCTCTAAGGTTGATTTCCAACCTCAGAAATTCAGCTGGTTGAGGTTCTTTCTCCACCAATGGTGAGGGAATTGGGCAGAGGTTCCACATTCAAAGTCCCAGCTTTGCAGTTGGAAAACCTCCAAGCTGGACTTCCAAATAATCCTATGGCCACCCCAGACAATGTCAGAAGCTCACTGGATTGCTATAAGGATATATGTGACTATCAAGCATATTCTACTGCCCTTTCCAGCAGTCCTTGATTACATTAAATAATCTAAAGTCTTTTGCATGTAGCATGCATGTTAAAGCCCAGCATGAAGTCTAAATTAACTGAAGGTTTAAGACATCATAACCTTAAAGTGAGACTCAGTCTACCTCTTTAGCACTGGTTTACATTTGAATAGAAAACACCCTACTCCTTATACTATGTTAGATGCACGGTCTGCCAATGCAGGAATTTCCAGTGTAATTATACATGCTCTGAAAAGATGAATTGATGCAGTGACATTTCCATTTATATTACTAAGTAGCTTCATGACTCGTTTATTACAGAATACCCTGAGATATTGGGAAAGCTGTGAACTCTATAGTGCATTAAAAGCAGGTGAAAAGGTGGGGTTAGTAAACAGGAGTAAGGACTGGGTTAAAATACACAAGTGAAGAATCCAGACAGTTTGTACCCCAAGAGCTGCATCCTCCATTTCCAGTTTAGAAGGCAAACATCAACCATTCTATGTAGTTGCATAAACAGCATCAATCATCCCACTTTAAACTACTTTCTTGGCACAATTTATTTTTCCTGACTCCTTCCCCCACCCCCACCCCAAAAAGCTGTTTGCAAATCATTAACAATATTCTATTCTAAACTGTCAGTTTAACAGCCCTATAAAACACTTTAGAGCTTTTTAAAAAGTGAGCATGCTGTAGATATTAAAACTGCAGTCTCCCTTTCAGGAAGCTTAGTTCACTTTCAAACTAACTTTCAAGTCCTATCTATTCATTGAGACATAAAACCCTTAGCTGAAGGCAACAGTTCACTATATTGGCAAGTGCCACATACACTTTAGTAAGAGGAAATCTTATACATTTCAAGACACTAGTCAAGCCCTTTGTAGTTAATTGTTTATTGTTTGATTTTTAAGATGAAGGGCAATGAAGTGGCACAGCATAATTTCAGATTTGTTCTGGATGATCAAGTTCAAGCCACTTGTTGAATTATTACTCTCAGCCTTCTCCTGGGTAAAGCTTTTGGTGTTAGTGAGCCTATATTATGGAATGCCATCCCATTCACTGAAAGTAGGGAATTCAAGCAAAGAAATAAAACTGGATCTCAAATTTCACAGCAACTTTCCAAAGCAGGAAGGATACAAACATTCTTTACTTAGGCTGCATAACTGTTTAAAGATATTTTTTATGATCAGAGAATGATCAGTTAAATAAGAGTACTGCAGATTTAATTTCACATCTTGGCTATACTCTGACAAAGAAGTAGTCACCAAATATAGCAACTAGGTCCTGTCCCAAGCCAGGGATTAACTAATGCCCTCCCCCAAACCTTCCCCAAGCCCACCCCCTCCCACAGCCCTTTCCAAAGTCTCCCAACTAGACAACACTGTTGGCAAATCAAGACAGCATGAAACATACATCAATAGAAACAAAAATGTGACATGTGCCAATGCATCAGGTTAACTATCCTATTAAAATGACACAGTTCTCCACACCAGCATTTCTGCTCAGGAGCCAGTTGCACCTTTGCCACCTAGGGATAAGCTTTACAATTTCGAGCATGCTCTGTGGTGCATTTACAAGTGCTGTAATGCTACAGACAAAAAAAAGTCAGACACCTGACAGTTTTCCCTGGGAGCAGTTTTCAGTGACCCAATGCGACTGTCTCACTATGCAGTGACTGTCCCACCATGCAGTGACACTCAAAGAATAATCCAATGCTTTAGCACAAATTATAATATCCAGTTCATTATGGTGTAAGGCATGTGGACAAGAAAAGGTATCAGCAGTATGCAGCAGGAAGAGAAGAATTCCACACCAGCAAAAAGCATTGGTTATGATGCTCCAGTTCATTCACTTTTAAACTGATTTCGAATCCCTGATTCCTATTTACTGAGGCTGGAATTCATTTAGTTTCTGAAACCATATGCTTTTGAGTAAGTGGTGACCAATTCCTTGTGCTTCTGTCCATTGTTAAATGTCAAATTGGCTGAAACTGTAGTAGAACGGAGCACCAGGGATGTCCTGCAAGTGACTGTAACTTGGCCTTCTCCTCCAAGTGTCACTGTACTAAATTTGGGTCAGGGTGTGGGGTGCAGAGAGACAATCTGGCCCAGCCACTAGCACTGTCACAAAAAGTTTCTTTAAAAAACCAAGGCAAACAAAGATTATGACAACCTCCTTTATAGAAGCAGCCCATGTTTTTAAAAAATCTTGCAAAATCAAAGTGTTAGACTTCTCAATCTAAAAAAAAGTTACATGCATGAGCTGAGAAAGTGGCCACCACAGCTATCTCAACAGCACCTTACTGTACAAAATCTAAGACTTTAAAAGACTGATCTTACATTTGAAGCCTTCTTTAACTGAAAATATAAGAAATCTGGCTATGGCTGGGACAACACACAGGAACATTTCAGAAGGTGAAGCTAGCGGCCTTGCTCTTTAGCTTGCCAAAACTTTGTTAATAGGGAAGGGGTACTTCATGCACAAGATGTGTTTTACAAAATACATATCCAAGAAAAAGCAAGAAAACCCCACTCTGCACTAGAATGCAACACTCAAACATTTGCACTGCCAAAGGCTTCTGCACATGTCTTGTTTGACAGAGGAAGCATGTGAAAGCGGCAAAAAGAGGGGAAGAAGGGAAATCCAAGTTTCAGTCTACTTTTCAAAATCTATTTCTCTTATAGGGATGTCTTCAGTCATCTGATGTCAGACAGTGCACTCTCATTTGAGAAGGATGTAGTGACAACAGGAGTGCCGTTGTTGGCCAGATAGCCTTGCCTCAAGGTTTCAAAATATGAGGCCTGCACAGGTTTGTGATACTGCAGAACTTTTATGGCATCATCTATCTTAAACCATTCCCTTTTCCTTCCTGTAGACAAAAAAGAGAGGAGGGGACAGTTAGCAATACAGCAAAGCAACTGAAGGATTTATATTCCCTTCTATAGAAAATGTCTAGACAAATTGTTTACTGATTTCAAATATAACTATTCTTCAGCAGCAAGGTGATAGCTGCCAAGATATGTATGATTCACTGACTGGATTTTTACCTCTTAAGAAACAAACAACCAATTATTCAACTTTTCATTAAATAGATTTACATTACAACAGCAAGGCTGTAGTGTAACAAGTACTCACCACATTTTTGAAATCAACTTTATTAATACTAAAGGAAAGAAAGGTAATGGGAAATAATGTATTTTGTAAGGAAAATACTGAAACAAATACAATGCAATCAATCACTTTAGAAAAGTCAGTAGGAGATTTATAGGGAAAATATTGTTGTGTTACTGTGAAGCATTACTGTGAAATAAAAATATGCATGGAAATAAATTTGTAGCTGAGAGGGAAATAGCTTGGTAAGAAACGATCTGCTAAGTAATATGTTATCTACAAGGTGTGTAACTTTCTATAAAAATGAAGAGTTTCTGTGCAATCCAGGAACTGAAGGCAAAAACCCCCCTATGGGTATGATGAAGTATATGTTAGAAAGAATAATACCATTTTAAAAATTATGTGACACTCTGTTATTGCTACTGGAGTTGTAATTAGTGCATTTCCTTTTCAAACACACACAAAATATGAACCATTTATTACTTAAACATGCACATCCTCTAAAAAAAACCCTGGTAATGTAGGGTAAAGCTCCTGCCTTCTAGCATATCAGGTTAGGCTGCTGCTTAATTTTGCCACAGCCTAACTTTTCAATGTGAAAAACAATTAATATGCTTATATACTCGCTCCCATTATAAAAATGCAACAAATTTCAGTTTTCACCTTTGTTCAACTGTCCGCTATTTTTACCAAATAGTAATAGATGGATGGATGGTAGAGAGAGAGATGGATGAATGATAGACACAGGGAGAATATACTGGTACATAAAGGAATGATCAAGGATGATGGGAGATACATGAATGACTGATTATTCTGAAAAAGATGGAATTCCCAGGTATATCACAAGAGTTTTCAAATCATGCAAGACTGCTTTAGGAGATGAGTTCAGTCCATAGACTGAAGGTTTTTCTCCTCCAAAAAAAGTAGGAAAACCACCTAGTGTGGTACTTTTTTATTTCTAAAGAAATAACATAAGTATACAAACTTAATCCAACACAGAGAAGATGATTCAGCTGCCTCCTCCTACAAGGAATCAGGAATAATGATGCACATAAACATCTTACCAATATTCACAGAATCTTCCCAGTCTTCTAATACTTCTGTGACAATTAATACATAAACATATGTTCTGTGTTTCCTGTCCTGGTTCTGAAAGGAGAAGGAGCAACACTAAAGTTAGGCTGCAAGCATACAAGATACCTGGTTCACACATCATGCTAAGATGTGGTGGGTTTTTAATATGGGTGGTTGCAGGGTAGCTTAACATAAAGTGATTTTTCTGTTTTTCACAAACAAGCTTCCTTGAGAACCTGTGGCTTGTAGAAAGATTGTTTAGGGTGACTTGTTCTCTGAGTGGCTTGTTATGGTGTGTGAACCTGACAATTTCATCATGTGTTGTTGCAAACAGCTAGAGAGCCTCCCTACAAATATAGCAAAACCCTTTGCTGCTCTCCATGATCTGGCTAGTTCACCACCATTCTCTTTCATCCCTTCTTAGTGCCCTTCATTTTCTCTTCATACATTGTGAAAAAAGGAAACTAGAGAGTGTCCCAAACACATTTACAATTTTGGTCAGTTCTGTGCAAATGCACAAGCATGACTGGCAGTTGGCATTTGAATGCTCTGCTGTGAAATGTGCATATTTTTAGTAAACTGTCTCATTTGTCTGTTTTGAAATCTGCATACCTACTCAGTCCCTACATATGTTTAGTGATCCTTCCAGCTGCTCTGTAACCTTTCTGACAGGAAACAGCAGAAACTAGTGGAGGTACGATAAACATGGAATGGTTCAGGGAAGAGTTCAAAGCAGCTTGTGTCTGCAGAAGAAAGGGAACTTTAGGGGTGAATGTTATTACCTCAGTAGAATGTAAAGCAGCCTTTAAAGAGGAGGGGGGGTCATGTGCAAGAGAAGCCCTGGAGGATGAAATGTAGAAGGCTATTGACAAGTATGCTTGACTAACTAGTATGCTTGACTAACTAGTGGATAAGCAGTCTCATTCAGGACCACTCCCCAGCCCAAAACTGTGAAGGTGGAAGTGGAGGATGAAAGGGTTATATGCTAGGTGTGATAATGGACCTCTGGACTTGTGGGCCTGTGTGCTTGCAGAAGACCACTCAACTAAAAATTTTAAAAATTGCTAATACAACCCCATGTTCACAAGTACTCAGAAATTTAAAGCGCTCCCATGGTCGGAGGGGAAGTGGGGAGGAAGTCCCCCCACTTCTTCCCTTGCAACCTCAGTAGACCAATAGCAAAAATGATGTTACAACGAATGGAACAAGGACATGAAGATTTCTGCCACGAAAGCCCCTCGGATGTGTGCTGGCAATGACTGAGAAAATTAAGAGAGACTGAGGTAGAAACAAGACAGAGCAAGCCAACAAGTTGAGAATAATGGACAAGCCACCATGGCTTATTCTCAGGAATGCCTTAGCATGAGCTTGCCCCAAGTCTTCAAAAATAATTATTTTCAGTGAAGCACCGATGGGAATATTTTTAAAAATAGCCTAACTTAAAGCAGTCCCTCCCAAGTTTACCTAATGAAATGAAGATTCAAAAACATTTTTAAAATGAAACTACAGATGAAAACATCAGGCACAAATTCAAAATACATATTAGTTACAACCTTGAATCTTGGAAAATGTTAGCGATTTCTAGAGTCAAGTCTTTAAAAGACTACAAATCAGAGGGAATTTAATTAATAATCTTACTGTCTCAGTGTAACAAGTAAAGCTTTTAAACTTTAATCATGTAACATGCATATCGCAAAGAGCGCCCCGACTATGGAATGCGCTCCCCAGAGAGGTCCGCCTGGCGCCATCATTATATGCTTTTCGGTGCCAGGTTAAGACCTTTTTATTTAATCCATATTTTAATATGTTTTAATATTTTTATTATTGTATTTTATTAACTTGCAGCCAGAGTGGGTCGTCAATTTATTTATGTTGTTAGCAGTCCAGAGACGTTAGTAATTGGATGGCATACAAATTTTATAAACGAACGAATGAATGAATGAGAAAAGTGTTTTACCAACTCTGACCATTTTTATACTCACCTCAAATATTCCTACTAATCTTCCTAATGTCCCTTTCACTCCAGCCTATGACAAGTACAAAGAGAAGAAAGACACACATTTACTAATTCAGATTATTTCCTTAATTCAGTAAGAGCCAAACTACATATGAGGTCTAAGATCAGATTTGCAACACCTTTTCAAGCTTATATACAGCTATGGGTAAAAACTTATCTTGTAGCATTAGTGTTTCACAATATATACAATAAGAATTGTTCCCCAAAGCTGGTATTAGTCCCACAATAGAAAAAGAAACAGGTATCTCTATCTTCACTGTATTTTCCATTAGATGAGTGAATAACTAGTGCAGGGTTCTGTTAAGGATTAACTACCCCCTTCTCCAGTGTAGCAGGAATGAGTTAATCTCCTCTTCCAATATCACTGCTCTAAGTAGCACTTGGCCACCTTTACATTTAAAAAAAAAGACATAAGAGGTTCAACCATGACTTCCCATCCAATGTCACACATAATTCATCCTTTTGACTAACTTGTTCATCAACAAATGTGAAAAATGGTGCAGGTGTGAGTTTGTTTGAAAACAATACTAATAACAGGGCTACAGTATAAATGTATATAGTAAGAATGTCTACCACTTGACAAACCTTGACTTTAAATGGAACTGACTTTAAATGGAAGATCCATGCATTAGTACCCATCAAATAAATGGAAAACCAAATGAAAATGAACTGCGCCAACTTCGAATTCCACTTTTACTTTTTAAAGCTTTAAATTTTTCTTCAATGTGCTCATATAAAAGTGGGGTCACCCAGGATATTTTGGTATCCATATTAGAAAAATGACAAAACAAAACTAACATGAGGTACAGCCCATTAAAAAAGTATCCTAAGCAAGTCTTCTTGAAATTAATAGGAGCTATATAAGTCATAGTACTGCACTATTCTAGCTTCCATGCATTTTAACATGGTTTGGGCAGAAGTCAAAATCTGTCCCATTTAACAGAACTGAAAAATTACTTGAGAATACCTGCCATATTTTACCCCATAATGGAAAGGTCTTTTAAAAAAATGATAACTAAATAAATTCATATATATAAAGTAGTATGTACAATATTGGTCCTGAGGATTCTTGACAACTGATGGGAAATGTAACAATACAACCTGAAAATTTGCTCAATACTGGCAAGTCCCCAGGTTATGAACAAGTTCTGTTCCTGAGAAAATGGAAATTTGTCTTTAAGTCAAATTTGCATGTAAGTCAGATCACATAAAGTTGGCCCTCCACATTCATGCAGGTTAGGGGCACAGGCCTCCTGTGAAAGTGGTAAAACCACAAATAGCTCTACCCCGCCTCATCATGCCCACCCAAACTCACCAGTGCCTCCTCCTTGCTGCAAGAAAATGCCAGAGAGATTTCCATCTCTAGATGGGAAAGGCAGGAACGCATGGAGGCCTCCCTTGCACCCTTTTGCATCCTCTCTCTCTAAGGTGATGACGATTTTCCACAATATTTTTAAAAAATAGGCTTTATGGCAGTTTATTTATGGCAGGTAGGCAGACTGTGTACCTCCAAAACTGACAGAGAGAACACTGTGGACATAATCTACCGTGACTTTAGCAAAGCTTTCAACATAGTGACCCATGACATTCTGATAAGCAAATTAGCAAAAAGTGGACTAGTTTGAGAACCTATTAGGTGGATCCAAAATTAGCTGCTAAATTGGACAGAAAGAGTGCTCATCAATGGCACCTTCTCAAACTTGAGGGAGGTAAATAGTGGGGTGCTGCAGGGCCCAGTGCTCTTCAGCATCTTTATCAATAATTTAGATGAGGACGTACAAGGAAAGATAATGAAATTTTCAGACACTACAAAACTGGGTGGAATAGCAAACACCCTAGAAGACAGAATGAAAATCCAGGGCAATCCTGATAAACTTGAATGCTGGGCTGAAAGCAACAGAGTGAGATTCAACAGGGACAAGTGCCAAGTCCTCCACCTAGGAAAAAGAAATCAAGTGCATTGATAAAAGATAGGTAATACGTTGCTCAACAGAACTAAAAAAGAAAAAGGCCTTGGATTTATTGTGAATGACAGGCTAAATATGAGCCAACAACACAATGCAGCTGCAAAAAGTGAAAATGCTATTTTGGGATGCATCACTTTGAAATTATGAGAAGTAATAGTTCCCCTATAATCCTCAGTAGTCAGACTTCATCTGGAATACTGTGTCCAGTTCTGGGCACCAAGATTTAAGAAAGATTCAGAAAAATTAGAAAAGATCCAGAGTAGGGCAACAAAAATGATCCAGGGTTTGGAAACACTGGCCTATGAGAACATTCTGAGAAAACTGAGCCTTGGGAAGGGAAGAGTGGGGGGGGGGGGGTCATAATATCACTTTATAAGTACATGAAAGGCTGTCACAGAGAGGAAGGTCAAGATCAATTCTCACTGATACCAGAGTGTAGGACAAAGAATAATCAACTCAAGTTGTTAAAACCCAAGTTCATGCTAGATATCAAGAAACATTTCCTCACTGTCAGAGCAATGCAACAGTGGAACCAGTTGCCTGTCCCACTCTGGAGACATTTTTAAAAAACGGGATAGTCATCTGAGTAGGATGGTATGAACCGGTGACCTACGACAGCAGGGAGGGGTTGGACCAGATGGCCTTCTTGACCCCTTCCAACTCTACTATTCTATGATTCTATAAATGCAGGTTGTAACTTGAATGTTTGTAACTCAGGGACTGCCTGGACCAGTGTTCAATACCTGGTGTCCACAGGAAAGGATAATGACATAAAATAGAGACATTCTCTGCAATCTTTCCAAATATAGGAGCTGAAGGGAAAATAACTGTTACTGATGTAATGTCAGGTTGAAGTGCCACATATGAAGCACTCTGAAGACTCTCATAGAGAAGCCACAATCATTCTAATGGATTGTTATTGCCATATCAAACACCAGCTCTATTCTGGAATGTGAGAGCTCTGCAGAATATATTTTGGTGACTTATTTAATCTTGGGTTTTTCTAATAGAAGTGAAACATTTCAGGCACTTCAAGTATTAGAATATAGCAACAGCTTGTCAGATGAAAAAAAAGGCTCCAAAGGTTAGAATGCCATTTTAAGTCAAATGTAGTAGCTTCCATAACATGTGAAGTGAAATTTCTTTCATGAGCATCAATCCTTGGTGGCTCCACTGGACCAAACATGGTGATTCCTTGCTAACCAGTAAGATAGCAAAATTGGGTCATGCCCTAGAAAGACAGGTATTTCAATATCCTCAGGGGTACTCCCCAAGGTTATGGAAAAATAATGCTTTACCAAGACACATATATTTAAAAAAACCCAAACATTATGTACATGCAAAGTCCTCCTACAGGAGCAGGACACTGAAAACAATGAGTATTGGAATGGCCTATTTACTGCCACCTATGAAGGAACTCTCCAAGACAGCTTGATTGTGGGGAAGCAGGGGAGATTTCTCTCACTGTACTTGTTGGGCCAGAGGCTTGCTTGGCAGCTTGCTGCACAATTACTCCCAAACTCTTCTCTCATTTGCTCTATCAGTGGGTTGAACCACCCTTTCCCCATACTATACTTCTCTGTTGGGGGGAAGTATAGAGAATTCTCCACCATTCTTCAATCTCATAATTGCTTCAGGAAAAGGAAAGGCTCAGTTCCTTCAGTACAACTTGATTCTTTTTATATCTAAAGCAAAAGTTCAGCTTCAGAGCAGCAGTGAAAGAAAGTGGATGCTATCCACATCCTAGGTAACCACAGTTGCAGGCACTGTGGTCTGCTTATGCTTCTCAGAAGAAATGGAGTGAGGATAGGTAAGTTAGATCTAGAACTTTACTATCAAGGCCATCCTACTGCACTTCCAGGTATGGAGAATTAAAAGCATTTCAATAGTTATAGCACCAACAGCAACAAAAGCATCACTTCAGGAAATCAGGCATTAAGCAAGACCATTTACCAAAGCCAAAAAGCAAAATTGGGGGGCTTTATTCTGGCCAAGAGTTTTATCTTTGGTATCTCTTCTTATTTCTCTGATCTCTGTTATCACTTGCTGCTTTTCTGATGGTGAGTACTACTCAAGGTGAGGTAAACTCAGCATCTGCAACTTGGGTTGCTTATTACAAACTAACAGGTACCTTTGAATTCACCTGATCTGTAATTTCCTTGCTCATGTTTTCAGTAAGAATACAGCAACTTTGTTTGACAGTCTGAAGAATAATTATGATCTTCTTTGTTCAAGTCTTAGCACCTTTAATGCTGGTGTGTGAACGTAATTAAGCTCAAAAAACTCTAGACTGGAGATTAAAGCAATGAGATACTTGTGTAACAGAAATATTGTAGGGACTAAGTTTAATATCTATTAAGCTTGTTGACAGGAGGAATTATTTATATGGTTAATTTATAAGTATTGTAATCTTCAGATAGGATTTCCCCCCCTATCAATTATTACTCTACCTTCACCATGAAGGTACCTGTTGATATTTACTTAAAATGCTAATACATGAGTGAGGAACCCCTGACTATCTGGCCTGCAGCCTCAAATTCTTCCACCGCTCCCCAACAGGGAAAGTCTTGGGAGGCTTTTTCAAGTATTCTCAAGGGATACTAAAGTGACCCTTTCTGTGTCATATGTAGCAGCTGTTTCTGTTGCACTTGATAAAGAAAAAGGCATGAGGCTTGCTAGGAACAAAACCCCAGACAATTGCTACAAAAGCAGTACCCCTCTTCCATGCTTTTGTGCTGCTGCTGCACCTGATGTGGAAGAAGACTGACAGTTGTACAATCTTTATCCCACACTGACTTCTTCTCAGCTCAGCTTACTTTGCAAGACCAGGCCAAACATGGGGGGAAGTCTATAAACAGAGGGACAGATTACTTTAGGATCTGTCCCAACCCTAACATACACATGTTTTACTTTAACATCTGTACAAAAGGGCTCTAGGAAACACTTCTTAATTTCACTCAGAGAACACCCAAATAGTATTTGCATAATCATGTAACTCTTGATTAAATACAATGAACATAAATACTGAAGTACAGGTAGTACGTAAATGGAACTCAACCTTGTGTGTGTGTTTTTAAACAGCTTTGTGAAGGGACAACATTTAAGTGTTCTGAACCTAATGGGGCAGGAGGGGGAAGTAGGATGGAGGACACATGGGCTACTATTTTGCATTACCCCTCCTAAACCTATAGTTTTGAAGGAGAAGGCAGGCCATCTGCAGTCAGTGCAAGTTCTACTTTGTTGACAGGATCTAACTGTCAACTCAACTAAAATGTTCCCTCAACTAAGGTAACAGGCAAAATCAGGTGATTTATTCCCAAAGAAGCACAACATTGTTATCAGTTAGTTGAAATTCCACATTCCAGGTCATAAGCACATTATAAAAATGAAGACTAGAGGAAAAATTTTACCACAATTTCCACTTTATCTCAGAGATGAAGGTGCTGTTATATAATACTTAAAAATATGTAGGACTACTAATGCAATTAGGCTGGACACAATAGATGGACTACTGAAGAAGGCAAACAATCACTGAGAAGAAAGTGATAAACAGCACCATTATCTTAACACAAAGCAGATTTTAAGGACTTACCTCTTCACAAACCTCCCGCACAGCAGCCACACTGGGCTCTTCTTCAGGTTCCATACCACCACCTGGGACAATCCATCTATCTGGATGACGACTACTGCTCACTAGCAGCACCTACCAATGAGAACAGAACACTTGTATATAATTTAATGATATGGGTACACAACCTCAGAATATAACCTTGCTATATAAAAATCGTGCTAACTGGCGAGAATGAGGTAGGGATTAATTAAGCTCCTATGAGTGTTCTGAGTTTTTTTTCTTTTAAGCCCATCTGTTCTTAGCCCTCACAATACTGATTAAATTTATAGAACTTGATTCAAGTTAACAGCAGAAATTTTGCAACCTGGACTGGAAATAATCCTTTAAAAAAAACAGTAAAAACCAATAGGTATGGTACTTGTTTAAAAACAGGAGTAAACAAAGATTAAAATTAAGAATTAAGTTCTGGAATGACACAGAACTATCAGCAAGCAGAATTTCAGCCCTATTCACATATAGTGGTCTGGTATCTGCTGCTATGAGACTGCTTCCCTCCCTTTCCAAACTTAGCCGACCCATCTCTGATGAAATAACCAATTAAAAAAATAATAATCCCCAGATGATACTACCTGACTAATCATTGGATTCTGGCAGCTAGAAGAATGAGGCCACCACAAAAAAACTGAATGTTAAGCCTTGCTAAACAATAATACATCAAGCACTTCCCATCACAGCTGCCAATAGTGGAAGAATGACCACATTTGAGAAGGGGTGGCTAGTAAGGTCCCAGAAAGGTTTGGTCCCAGAAAGTGGACTAATACAAAATTCTACAGATGGAAGACAAAAAGATCCTTAAAGGCCAGACAAGCTTGCCAGGATGACCCAGAGTTCACAAAACTAATTTGAACAACAGAAACAAACCCAGCTCCTTTTTCAGTATTCCTCATAAAAAAAGACACACTGGGTCAGTTTGCACATCATGATAAACCATCTTGAAAATAAGCTACTGTGGTTTGGCTGTTTGCTCACTAAACCACATTACTCCAAAGGGAAAATCAGGTGCTCTGTGGCTTGCCATCCGTGGCTTATTATTCCATTTATTATTCCACTTCACAACTAATCCATAGTGGTTTGGTGATTCCCTGAACAATCCACAGTGTACCTGACAGACATGCCCCTTTTATTCCCCCTTAATCATCCAACCAGCTCTAGCACATATCCTCCAGAGCAGAATCTATCATCTCTTCCCACCCTTCCCCAACTGCTACCCCTTTTCACATGCCAACATAGTGTTACAAAGAAACTGGGCATCTTTATTAATAAAAGTTTAAGAAACTTGGGATGTCTGGTTTTAAAAAGGCAAATTAGACCAAATTCCATATGGGTTTCTAAAATTATGTATGATGGAGAATGACTCATCAGTTAATCATAATAAATTGTTCCCTCTGCATTGGATTAGCAAAATGTTCAGGATAATTAGAAGGAAATACTTCTCAACTTAGTGTAAAGTTCAACAACAAAGGCTACTGAGATTCAGTGTGGTGTACTAGTTCCCACTTAATCATAAAACTCACTGGGTAACTTTGCACAGTCACAGACTATTAGTATAACCTACCTCATAGGGTTGTTGTTGTGAGGATAAAATGGGAAGTAAATAAAGAAACAGCTCCTAGTAAAGTCATTCTATAACTTTAATTCAAGCTTTAAGTTAGAGATCAAGTGTTTCTTATCCATTATTATACAATTGATATCAAAGTCAGCAATGTTGAGAGTACCTTATTTTTCCATGGAAAATTTTCAGTTTCATACATCCGTTAGTCAAAGTTAATATATAATGATTATAACGCAATAGCAGAAAAGCCTGACAGATTCAAAATTATAATTAACATTTTTCAGGCTATCATCCTTAACAAGTATGTGAGACAACACACATACACACACACATATGTCACTGTATACATAAATGTCTCAGAGTGAAATGGAAATAATAAATAGCAACAACAAAACTTAAGGTGCCCCAAAAACATTAGCAGAAGAGAGTTGAATTCTGTCAAATTAGACGAGTGATTGTCAATATATCATGCCCATTTCTTTAAGATGCTAAAATTAAGTAACATGTCAACAGTTTTCAGTATCTTCTTGTTCTTATATTTAAACAACATATGGGATATACATATTGTTGTCTTTCAATTTTTACAACGATTCACATTTTATTTCTTTAACAAATGCATATTAAAATCACATTAAATGCACTTTAATTTTTTTCAAATATTTCAGATTAAATGCTGCTGGTGTAGTGGGATAAAGGGGAAAAAACAGCACTGAACATTTTTAAAGCTTTTTAAATCTAAACATAAGTAAAATGACTGCGCTAAATTAGGGTGAAATCCTGTGGTCACTGGATACAATCTAGACAGCCATAGAATAGTTTGGGGTCCCACCCCCAACCTCAGAAATGTGTTCCAAGGCTGGAGCTACAACTCTGACTATGGTCGATCCTTGCAGCCAGCACAGTTCTTTTTGTACTGGTTGCAACTCTAAAGTCACAAGTGGAACTTCAGAGCCAGCACTGGGGGCATATTCTGAGAGATGAGGAAATGGCATAAGTCTTCTTCAAAAATCAATAACAAGAGACACAAGCTAAGTCAGAATACTGGCCATTAGGGAAATGATGCTTAATGATACAGAGCCTATTCCAAACCAAATACCTCTTCTCACTTCCGAACCAAAAAGAGGTGACTCCACCTTCAAAGATGGATTATGCTGCTTATGGCCAATCACCTGGAATGTCTGACACTTCTCAACTGGGCTACTCTCTTAACCTGACACTGTATGATTGGACTAATTATGTTAAGTGCTCCACCCCCCCCCCCCCCACACACACATCCATCTCTGCTTGCTTACTAGGGTTTATTACCACAGGTGAATCTGGCTGGTTCTCAGCAATCGACTGGCTAATCTGTGGATCCACGGGCTTTGGTATTTTAGCAGTGAATTCTAACCCTTCCACCTTCTCCACTTCTCAGTTAGAATACAAGTCAATGACCCGTGAAGTCCATATTTCAGGAGGACTGGGACCAATCCTTATAGACTCCACCAGGCTATGAATAATCCTAATGATGTCTCAGTCACTCCTCACAAGGAAGGGCAAAAGACACAGATGTTAATGGCTTTTGGAGGGCAGAAAAAACATAGAGACAATTCCTGCATCCACACCTCTCCCTTGCTTAACTGAATGCCTGCCATCCTTCAAGACTGCAGGAATATGAGCAGCCAATAGACAGTGCTCTGAATTTCCCTACAGCAGGGGTGAGCAACATGTTTCCCTTCTGATGTTATGGCTCTCCATCAGCTCTAGACAGCATAGCTAAGTGTAATAGGTGAAGGGAGACAGCACAACATGTCTGGAGGGCCACAACTAGCCCACCCCTGCTCTAGGGGATCAGAATATTTTCTAATGCACAGTGAACATTCTTCTATGCAAATGACCCTAAGGAACATAGTACCTTCATATTTGGAAGTATAATACTGAATACCAGCTATGGAAACAAACCACTTGGTGCCTTGTGGCCTATGACACAAGCTAACACCTTTGTGCATGTTCTGGCACTCTCTTTCCATATTGATATGAGCATAGTCTACTAAACTAGATCAACTTTCAGCTTGAGAGCAAGGTAGTTATGTTCCCCATATTAGCTACTGAATTATGGTTCTGTGTGAACAGTTGCCACTTAATAGACCTAAAGCACTGACACTGGAGCTTTATTTTAATGTTTAAAAATGTAATCTATGTTTGTTTGTTTATTTATTTGGGATATTTCTAACCCGTCCAATCACTATGCATCACTGGACAGCTTACAAACAAAATTCAATAAATACAACAATATAAAATATTATATAATACCCCAAACAACAATAATACACTTCCCATAGAACTCAAAGTATATACTTCCCATACAACCCAATGTTTTCCCTACAGGTCTATTTTATATACAATCCAGAAAGATCAGTGTTTCCCAGGAGACCTCACAAAAATACAGTTGACAATTTAATGAGGTAAAAAAGAGGCCTAAAAGAACCATGAGATTTCTCAGGAAGGAAAGGATAGAGAGTGTGGAGGTAAAGAGAGAAAAAGAATAGATGGAACAGGAAATGAATAAACTAAAATAAATGCTGAATAAACAGGAATGACAGAAGACACTAAAAGGAAAAAGACATTCAAATAATGAAGCAAACAGTGATAAGCCTAGCTAGTACTTTCCCCATTTTATGGGATATGAAATGACATCATGAAATATTTGTTACACTGTAAGAAACTGTTTCATACTTAGGTAGAATAACTATGCCTCCTTTATTGGCTAAGTAGGAAAAGGATTTGGAGAATTTACGAGAACTCAATTTCACGGTTTCCCCAGTGTCTAAGAAAGCACAGCACATTGCTCTTAGCAAAGCCCTCTCCTTTTACCACATAGTTATTTTAGTAGTAACCATTTTTAAATCCGTAGGGCACAGATCTTTGGCCATTAGATACTGTTCAGATGAGCACAGGAAAAGTTGGAGACCCAGCTCCAACCTCAAAAAAGCATGCATTTCCAGCTTCACAGCTGGTACAGTTCTTCCATGCCTGGTTGCAGTTGGGGGTGGGGGGAGCATTCTGAGGAAAAGGAAAGGGAGAAACCAGGCACCATCTTCCTATAAGGAACCCTGGTGGGATGTCCAGCTCTTCTGCTTCTGAATCCATTTAAAACACTAAAATGTTCTGCCTAGGTGTTCTAGAGGGATCCTTCCATCCTCTATTAGATTTCCATTATCCTCAACCAACATAGCATTTAATGCAAATAATTTTTGTAAATGCAGGCATCTAAGCTAAGTACATGAACCTGAGAGCTAAAAATGATAAAGATTCAATTACTGTTAGACATTTGTTTAGTATCAGCAGCACGCCAGACAATTCTCTAGGTTTATCAAATTTTCATGTTCCCAGAAGACACTGTACACTCTGCAGAAGACTGGTTGTGTAATACAATGACACAGCCTTGACAGATAGAACTGACTAAAGTTCAAAGATATAGTCCTAGGCCAACTACTCAAGTATCCATTATCTTGTTGCCATTCCAGATCTACAAATCAAA